TTATGAACATAGAAAAAATTTGTAATGAACCTCAGCGCGCGCTGTAATCATAATTTTGGCCCACCCTGTACACCGGTAAAAAATGAAGGCAGCAACCCAATTCTGCTCAGAAAAGTCAAGAACAAGGCTAGTTTCATCAAATTTTTCTGGGGAATGAGCCTCAACAACCATATGACAGAGAAACAAACAATATAACGCCATGGGCAAGTGGTTAAAGCAATAGGCCTAAGTTGCAATAGCAAAATCAACTATTAAGCTTTTTAGATCCATTTCTCACAATATGCCCAAACGCAAACCTTAGGCCTGGGACGTTCCGAATCCCGATGAATTCCAGTCAACCTAATTTTTACATCACAGCAAAGTAGGACCTTTAGTTTTTCGGGGAACAGGTGTTCGTCCGAGTTCAAGCTGCTGTCCTTTGGTCTCGTAGAATCGTTTGTCGCTCCTTGCCTGTCCTTAGAGAAAAAGACATTAAAGAGAAATAGAGAAAAATCTTTCTCTCTAACGCTTCAATTAATTATAATAAAACAATGGTGAAAAAACTTCCTCTATAACGCTTTGGTTGATTGTAATAATAATAACAATAGGAAACAAAAGCAATTAGGAACGAGCTATCTCGTCGCCGGTTACGAATCTACTGCTTTTACTACGAGTTTTGTGCAAAAACTTCAACATATTGAACCTTTCTTCCAAAAAATACCAAAAAGAATTGAAACTTTCTGTGGAATAGAATTTCACGCTGAATTGTATTGCTTGAGTACAGCTGGACTGTATGCCAGTTCCCTCAGATTACCAGTGGGAATAAATTGCACCGTCTATTCGAAAAACCATCAAATTTCGCAGTTTTTATGACCTTTTCGAAGATTTCCTTCATGCCATCCGCTATCACGCCCTAACCAAGCGTATATGGCTTTATTTATATCATCGCATTGGAGAATTACTATTCGGGAATGATTTCGGCCACACTATTTTCGAAACATAGGCGAAGGATTACCTGTGTCATCAGAAATCAGAGATTGAACTCTCTATGGGAGCAACGAATTTTATGCCCATGATCTTTGAGTTTCAAAAAAAAAAGTGGATTAAAGTGACGAATTCATCAAATACCGCTACCCTAAAGCAGAATCTGGTAATGGTAGTATCGGGGTATGCCGGTGAGCCCTGGTCGCATCTGTTATGGGATTCGTCGTGCTAGAGTTTCTGATGAGTCACTCACTCTCTGAACTTTGAATTTATCAATGAAATGCAGTTGTTTCGCGATAAGTCGAACGTCACAAGCCTCGGAAATAAGGGATTATTCAAATAAATCCGTAATATTATAATAATATTGACGCCATAATACCAGTATAAAGCCCACTTGGTCACGACACAGCCTTCAGAACCAAAGAATGCTTGCTATCTATCTAATGCTCTTCCTGCTCGGCGAGTTATTTTCAATGTTCTACACATTCTACATTTTTCCTTTTCAAAAGAAACTCCGAAAGATAGATTTGCACCGTAATGAAAAATTGTTTTAAGCTTTCACCGAAGCGAGGACTGGCCAAGATTCTGCTGATACGCCATCAGCTGAAGTGAGTTCATATATGTATTTCTGAGTAAAGTATATAGATCCGTAAAAATCAAAGTTGATGTTCATGAGTAACTTAATCGAACTCAGCGGTAATGTTATGACTGCCACATTTTCTTGAAGCTGCTACGACTTTTCTTGAAGTACGACGTGTTCAAGCCCATCATAGACCCTGGAGATTGGTCATAGCGCGAGTATACCTCTTTTCTCCACTAACACCTAGCTAATGATGATTACAAGATTACCGACTGTAAAAGAAAAAGGTGTTTCATGACCCTACAATTAAGATTCTACTGAATCTTGCAATAACTTTCCCCACATTGTTTATTCTGAGGGAGAAAAAGAACAAAAACGCAAGACATTTCTGTGACGGGCCGTGACGATCCGAGGTCGAGGTGACGTAACCCACTGAAAAGCTAAAGTGTGGCCCTGTTCGGCTAATTGTGAAATTGTGCCGCTTATGCTAGATTTGTTTAAGACAACAAAAAAACTACAACATTCGTGAGACAGAGAGGCATTCAAACTATTTACTCTATTAGGGCGAAAGTATGAATCGACGGTTGAAGTTCCTTGTTTATTTTCAGAACACCCACTACCGTCTCATCATGTTTTTCTTTGCAGGCACCGGACCAGTCTCCTGAGTCGCCAGATTCAAGCCCAGAAGCTGGAGCTCGTTCTGCAAGAGGAGTGGAACGTTCGTTAAGACAAGCCGCAAGTGCTTGAAAGAAACGTTGCTGCTCACGGGCATAATCCTAATCATGAAACCCATATCATTCTGCTAATAAATAATATTTGCTGCTTTCAAGCATATGTTCTGAAGCAATAAGTGGGGAGTTTTAGCAATTCGAACTGCGTGAATAGTTTACATCTGGAGGCATTTGGTTCCTTGAAGAGAACGGTCTATGTTGTTGCCGGGGCTGACGTAGGTGGGACTTAAAGGCACAGTTCGCGATTAAGATAGCCCGTATATTTCTCGATGGTAGAAATCCAAGATCCACAAGAAGGTCAGATGAGAGGCTCTGTGTGTCAGGTCGAAAAAAGCACAAGTTGTCCCTAATAAGGGCTCCAAGCCCACTTTCGACACTCGCTGCCTATCGATATCCCCATGGAAGTACTCAACGTTCTATAGGTCGATGACATTCAAAATGGAGCTTGTTTGTTGTGAATATAGTTGGCTGGTGTACATTGACAACTAGAACACGTTGTTCTCTAATGGTTGAAAACTCGTCCAAATGCCCCTTTTCCCTCTCAATCTCGATCAACCTTAGAAATTAATTGCGAAAGCTTCAAACTTCGGACCTAAGGGATATACCCGTTTTCTAGGCTGACGGAAGAATTCATTCAAACAGGTTGAACTGTCAGTACAGAAGGCAAAAAAGGCAAGAAGGGGTCCTAGCTGAAGGCAAACATTGTGCAGAGCTGAGAAATAGCCCAACGATAACAACTACATAGTATGTGTCCGCATCCAACATGCACACATACAAAAGTGTCACCGTTCCAGTTTTTTTAGTTCCTACCCAGTTACAGTTTTTAGTTTTTACAAATATTTGGGTTCTAAGTTACATGATAGAGCTAGCTTTTCTGATTTAAAGGTAAATGGAAGAGTCATGTTGAATGACCGAGATAAAGCTAATGCTTTTGCGAAGGAATTCACCAAAGCATATCAAAAAGATGACAATAAACTCCCAGCATTC